GGGCCACGCTCGATTTTCCCTCTTGGCTGCTGGTCCCTCCCCCCCCGCCCTGTCACCATCTGTATTCAACCACGGAGTGGGGTGGGTGGGAAGGGACATTTAAAAGTCATCCAGTCCAACCTGTGACCTTCTGCCTAGACCAGGTTTCTCAAGCCTTGTCCAATCTGGCCTTGAGTGTTTCCAAGGAATATTCCACAGCTTCTGTGGGAGCTGCCTGTGCCAGGGGGCTCACCGTGAAAAATTTCTCCCTTACATCTGAGTGGGGCCAGGGATGGGGGGGATGGGGAGGGGGAGCAGATGGGGGGAGCCCTGCCCTGCTGATGGCCCCGCTGTGGGGGGCAGGTGGGAGGCAGGACCATGCTGCCCATCCGCTGGATGCCCCCCGAGAGCATCCTGTACCGCAAGTTCACCACCGAGAGCGACATCTGGAGCTTCGGCGTGGTGCTCTGGGAGATCTTCACCTACGGGAAGCAGCCCTGGTACCAGCTCTCCAACACCGAGGTGAGCCGGCAGCATGGGGGGGATGATGACAGACCCCCCCCCCCCAGGGGGTACCCAGAGAGGGGGGATCCCATCTCCATCCCCGGTTCCCGCAGGCCATCGAGTGCATCACTCAGGGGCGGGAGCTGGAGCGTCCCCGCACGTGCCCCTCCGAGGTCTATGCCATCATGCAGAGCTGCTGGCACCGGGAGCCCCAGCAGCGCCGGCCCATCAAGGAGATCCACAGTCGCCTCCAGGCCCTCGTCAAGACCCCCCCTGTCTACCTGGACATCCTGGGCTAAGCGGAGACCCCCCACACCCGCTGCCCACTTTCCCCCTGCCCTCCCTGCTGCCCAGGGGCATGGCTTCCCCCCCCCCAACCCCTGCACAGCCCTGGACTGATGCCCCAAGGGGGGAAAGGGCTGAAAACCTTATTTATAGTGGAAAATGCCAGCCCATCCCTGGGGGGGCTGGAGGGCTGGGCTGGGGGACCCCCAGGGCTGGGACCCCCAGGTTTGTGGCCCTGCTGCCCGGCTCCTTGTCACTCCCCCAGTGTGCTGGGATGGAGGTGACGGGCTGAGGTGGGTGGGTTGGCTCGAGGGGTCAGAGCTGAGAGCCCCCCAGCACGGGGTCCATGCAGGAGCCAGGGGGGCCTCAGCTCTCTGGGGGAGCTGGGATGGCCCGTGCTCCGCAGCAAAACCAGTCACTAATAAACTGTCTCTCCCCCGCACTGGGCCCTGCCTGCTTCGGGGGGTCAGCAGGGTAGGGGGAACGGAGGGATTTGTGGCACAAAGGGGGGCTTTTTGAAGCAGGGAGACCACCCTGTCTGGGGCAGAAGAGCTGGAGGGGAGGTGCTGCCCCAGAGATCCCAGGGTGTGGGGACAGTATGTGCCCAAGAGGGAAGGAGGATGAGTGCCAGGACCCCGGGATGCAGGGATGATGTGTGCTGGGATGAAGCAATGATGAGTGCCCAGGGCCTCAGGCTGCAGGGTTGTGTGCCTGGGGTGCAGGGCTGTGTACCCAGGCACCTGGGGTGCAGGGGTGATGTCCTCACCCTCAGCCCAGGGGGGAATTTTTGGGGATGCTTGTGCCATACCCTGGCCTGGGGCACCCGAGTCACCTCGCCAAGGGGTCCGGGGGGAGGGTGGGACTTCACAGCACAGAGCAAAGGGTGTCATCCCCCCCTTCCCTGCGCCCTCCCATCACAACCAGGGGTTATCACATGCCCTGTAGCGTCCACTCCATCATCCTTCCTCGGGCTCTCCAGCCGCCTTGGTAATGGTTGAGACCTGGATTTGACCATAATGGAGCTGAATTGATTTCATCTGGATAATTAGGCAGCGCAGCCAGGGCCCTGGCAGCTCCTTTGTTACCCCCCGTGACCCGAGATAAGCAGGAGGAAAGCGGGGTCGTGGAGGGGGAAACTGAGGCACGGCACAAGGTGGGAGCAGCTGGAGGCGTGTGGGGGGGGTTGTGGCAGGTACCAGGGGGCTTGGGGCCAGCAGAGCACGTGGCTGTGCTGGGTGGCCGGGGCTGGATGTGGTGGCACAGCAAGAACTGGAGGAAATCAGAGCCATCCCCAGCGCCCCACAGCTCCCAACCTCTAACCCATCCCAAAACCCTGCAGTGGGGCCGGATCCAGCCCCCAGCCCAGGGCTCAGGCCCCTCTGTCAGGCCCTGGATCTTTATCAAGGGTCCAGCCCCGGGATGTGAGGAGCTGGCACGGGCAGGGTCTGGTCCTGCTGCAGCTCAGCCTGGCTGGCAGAGCCCCCCACCTGCTTCCTTGGGGTCTCTAATCGCTGCCCACGTTGATTTATGGCCTTTTTCCCTCTTATCTAATTTGAGGAAGGAACTAGATTACAACCTTGAGGTTTTCCAGCCCCATGCTGGAGGTTGCCGCAGACCAACACCCCAAAAGGGACAGAGTGTGGTGGTGACACCCCCTCCCACACACCCCCAAAAAAACGGGGAGGGCTTCCCCGCAGCCGTGCTTGTTTCCCCCGTGGGGATGGGTGTGCCTCAGTTTCCCCCTTAGGGTGGTCAGGGAAGAGTTAAGGCTCCCCCCGCGATCGATCGGATTCCCCCCCCTCCCTCCCTCCTGCAGCAGTTTCTCCATTTCACTGCTCCGGGGGGAGCGGTAATGGACTCTGGCAATGAGGTAATTAACGGCTCCGCTCCCAGGCGGAGCTGCCGCCCCAGCGGCACCGGGGCCTGGCCCCGGTAACCCGCGTTCCTCGGAGCTGGGGGATCTCGGCCCCGATTCTGCCGGGTGGTCTCCGGCCGCGTCCTGCCTGGAGGGTCTCACCCCGGCTGAGCCACCCTCCTGCTCCTGACACCGCAGGGAGGAGGTCCCACCCCCGCCAGAAGCCTCTAAAGCGACCCCAAGACCCCTCTAAAGGGACCGGACGTGTTTTGGGGTTCCTCCCGCCCCCCGGGATGGGGTGGATGGATGGGGGGGGGCATCGGAGTTGTGGATACAGCTGTGTCCTGGCCCCGCAAGGGATGGACCCCGCACAGCCCCCCCACCACCACCACACCGAAGTGCACTCGGGGGTCTCCGTCCTCTCCGGCTCTGGGGGCTCTCGGGGGGGCTGCAAAGGCATCTCGGCACTGAAGTGCCGCTGAAGTGTCCCTGAGCAACATTTCCACGCCGCCCTGGGGACACCTTAAAAAGCTCTGGCGCGGGGCAGGGGGGGAAGGTCACTTCCACACCAGGTCCCCGGTTCCGGATGTCCCCAACCCGGGACCCCTCAGTGCCCGCAGCCCCCACGGCCTCGGTGCCCAACCCTGCTCCGGGAAGCGCCGTTTTGGGGTGGCCACAGCGGAGCCTCAGCTGCGGGTGGGCTTGATCCTAATGGAGAGCAGGGGGTGGGCAAAGTAGGGGGGGGCGGTAGGGGAGGGGGGTGGGCAGCTGAGCCGCCCTGGGACGTGAAAATCGTTGTGAGTGATTAGAGCTGTTCCTGTAACGAGCAGAGCAATTAACGGCGCCTCGGGAGCAGCGCTAATGTGTGCGGGGGGCGGGGGGGCGGGGGGCGGCCGGGCAGGGGCACACGTGGTGCTGAGCTGCCCGGCCGGGGGTCCCGGGATGGGGGTGACACGTGGATGGGGGTGACACGTGGATAGGCGTCCCGGGATACAGGTACATGATCAGGAGCTCGGGATATAATTGTGATGTATGGTCAGGGTCCAGGGATGCAGAGGTGACGGATGGCTGAGGATCCCGGGATATCGGGGTGATGCAAGGCCAGGCATCCCAGGATTTGGGGGTGATGTATGGCTGGAGATCCCAGGATCCTGGGATGTGGGGATCACGTGTGCCCAGCATGTGGGGATGATGTGTACCTGAGATTTCAGGATGCACGTATGGTGTGTGCCCAGGGTACAGGAATGGTGTGTCCCTGGAATATTCGAGGGTGATTTACCTGAGATGCAGGAACGATGTGCCTGGAATGTTGTGCAGGAACAACATGTGCCTGGGATGCAGGGAGGATGTCTTCCTGGGATCCCAGGATGGGGGGATGATGTTTGCCCAGCATGTTGGGATGCAGGGAGGATGGCCCGGGATGTTGGGATGCAGGGACAATGTGTCTCTGGAATGCAGGGATGATGTGCCTCGGATGTTGGCATGTAGGAATGCTGTGCCCAGGATGCAGGGATGATGTGCCCAGGATGTTGGCATGTAGGAATGCTGTGCCCAGGATGCAGGGATGATGTGCCCAGGATGTTGGCATGTAGGAATGCTGTGCCCAGGATGTTGGGATGCAGGGATGGTGTGCCCAGGATGTTGGGATGTAGGGATGAGTGCCCAGGATGTTGGGATGCAGGGATGAGTGCCCAGGATGTTGGGATGAAGGGATGATGTACCCAGGATGTTGGGATGCAGGGATGAGTGCCCAGGATGTTGGGATGCAGGGATGAGTGCCCAGGATGTTGGGAGGAAGGGATGATGTACCCAGGATGTTGGGATGCAAGGATGAGTGCCCAAGATGTTGGGATGTAGGGATGAGTGCCCAGGATGTTGGCATGCAGGGATGAGTGCCCAGGACACAAGCCTGGGCTCTGCTCCTCGACACCAGCCAGTGCTGTGAAGCTGAGGGACACCCTGGTCCCCTCAGCCCCTCCTCACAAAGCACCTGCCCCTTGGCTGGGAGTTCCCTTCACCTGTCCTAGCCCTGTGGGACACCCCAGGTCAGGGCATGCACCCACGGGTGCCACAGAGCCCTCGGGACAGGGACATCCTGCAGCTGAGGGGTCGCACCAGGACGTCCCCACAGACCAGTCCCCACCCAGCACCGTGTGTGAGCAGCCCCAGCGATGCTGCTGTGCCAAAACCCCGCTGGTTCCTGGACAGACAAGGGAGAAAAAAAAAAATAGAAAAAATAATTAGGGTTTTTTATTTTTTTCCCTTTTCCGTAGTCGTCTCCACGTCCAAACTTCCTGAGAGCAGCTCCGGGCCCTCCCTCCGCTTCCGACGGCCGTGCTGCGCCATCCCGGCCGGCCGAGCCCACCGGCCAGGCCAGCCCCGCGTGGGGGCCGCTGCACCCCCACCCTGCCTGTCACCGCGGCCCCCGGCCAGGTGAGTGCCACCGTGCCCAGCCTGGGGCACCCTGGGGGCCGGGGGGTGGGACTGGGGGGGTTGGGGCGTGCCCTGAGGTGCTGCCGGAGCGGGAACAGCTCCCAGCACCGTGCGGGGCTTGGCAATGATGCGCGTTCCAAGGTGAGGGGACGGTGGCGGATGGGGAGTGGGACAGCGCTGCGACACCCTGTGGTGACCCCAGTGCTGCCCCTGCCCCCTGTCCCTGCCCACGTCCCCGACTCGCACCCCTGCCCCCCTCACCCTCGCCCAGCCCCATCCCTGCGGGTCCGCGGTCCCGGAGGAAACGCGTCACCCCCCCGGGCTGTGGTGGAGGAAGAGATAACGGCTGGGGGGAGCCCAGCGCGGTGTCCCCTGCAGGGACAGGGCAGGGCTGGTCCATGGTCCCCTGTCCTCACCCCACACGCCCCCTCCACCCCCGTCACCGGCGGCTGATGCTCCTCATCCCACCCGGGAGGTGCTCAGGGACACCCGTGGGGAGGGAAGTGCCAGGTCTTGGGGGGGTCTCTCGCCACTGTGGCCTCCATGGGGGGGCTCTTTCCCGCGGCTGGGCCCCCCAATGAGGAGCAGATGGGGCCCGCCAGCATGTTTTGATGATTCCTCGCTTTTCCTGCCAGAATCTCCCAGTGGTTCCTGTTGTTCCCAGCAGTTCTGGGACCCCCCACCCCCCACCCACCTCCATTCCTGGAGCTGAGGATGAGGATGGCAGTGGGGCCACTGGGAGGGCCTGGGGTTCCCCCTGGCACTTCCCCCCTGCCAGGGTCCAGGGGAGGGAATTTTGGCAGCGGATGAGCAATTAATTCCTCGCTGCCGGGAGCCGAAGGGAAATGGGGGGAAACTTTCCCACTAAACCGTTTTTCCACCCAAAACCGGATGCTCTGGCCCCAAAACGCAGCGCGGGCTCCGGTGAGGGGGAGGATGAACTCAGGGGGCTGCCGGGGCAGCACCTTTGGGGTGTCCCACGGCCGGAGCAGTAAGGAAACCACCGTAAATCCAGCTGTGCTCACCAGGAAACCTCTGTTTCCTCCCTGGCACTCGGCAGCCCCAGCCCCGTTAACACCCGTCCCGGTAAACAGCACCCCCAGCACGGGGGGCTCAGGGGGGCTCGCCGGCCCTCCCAGCCGGGCCCCCCGAGCTGGCAACGATCCCGGAGCCGCCCCGGCAAAGCCAGACCCTCTCCGGGTTGAGCAAGAAGCCGTTGGATCCAGGAAGCACAACTGGGAATAAACACAAAACGGGTTGAAGCGGGGCCGTCCGGCGCCGCGCCAGGGGCTGGAGCCGCCGTGCCAAACCCCACCCCGGGCTCCCACCTCGGGCAGCACCCCGGGATGGGGTCCCGCAGGAAAGGTTGGGGATGCGCCCCGGCGTGTCTGGGGATGCTGGGAGGGGGCCACCCGGGCTGCTGAGTGCCTCAGTTTCCCCTTGGCACAGTGGGGGGAGTAGCGGGGCCGGGGCCGTTTTTCGGGATGGAGGAATGCGAAGCCAGCCCCGCGGGGAGGTCGGATCCAGAGCCGGGGGCCGGGGGCGGTGGGTGTGGAGCGGGAATGTGCGGAGGCAGAGGGTGCAGCCGTGGTCTCTCTCCGCGCAGGATGCTGCTGAGGGCCGCGGTGCTGGCGGTGCACGCCGCCTTCCTGGCTGCCCTCCGCCCCAGCGACCCCAACGTCTGCAGCTACTGGGAGAGGTAGGGCTGGGGGCACTGGGAGAGGGCACGGGGACAGCGGTGGGGCCTCGCAGGACCTGCTGTTCACCCCGCATCCCCCCCTACCCCTGCTCCATCCGCAGCTTCACGGCGGCAGTGAAGGAATCCTACACCAAACCCCACGTCGTGTCCTCCAGCGAGCCCTGTCCCGGCGGGCTGGGCTCCTCCCTGCCCTGCCCGCAGCACAGGTGGGAGCAGCCCCGGCTCCCCACAGCCCTCTGGGGACCACACAATGTCCCCGAGGGCATGAGGGGCTGGAAGGGGGCTGTCCCCCAGGCTATGGGGGGCTGGAGAGGGGCTATCCCACTGCAGGTTGTCTCCAAGGATATTGGGAGGGCTGGAGGGGCACAGACCCACGAGAGGGTGTCCCCAAGGACATGGAGGGGGGTCTGTCCCTGTGCAGATTGTCCCCAAGGCCATGCAGGACCGGAGAAGGGATGATCCAGTGCAGTGTGTCCCCAGAGCCACAGGGGGGCTGAAGGGGCCTGTCCCCGTGGTCATGAGTGGGCTGGAGGGGGGGCTGTCCCAGCACGCAGTGTCCCTGAGGCCATGGAGGGGGGGATGGATGGGGGCTGGAAGGGACCTGTCCCCTTGGGCAGGGGGTGGTGAAGGGGGGGCTGTCCCACTGCAGGGTGTCTCTGGGGCCATGGAGGGTTTTAAGGGGTCTGTCCCATTTCAGGGTGTCCCCAGGGCCATGGAGGGTTTTAGGGGGGCTGTCCCATTTCAGGGTGTCCCCAGGGCCATGGAGGGTTTTAGGGGTCTGTCCCAGTGCAGGGTGTCTCTGGGGCCATGGAGGGTTTTAAGGGGTCTGTCCCAGTGCAGGGTGTCCCCGGGGCCATGGGGGGCTGGAGGGCCATGGTCCCACCGTGCCGGTGCCACCACAGGGTCGTGTACCGCACCGAGTACCGCCAGGCCATCCGCACCGACTACCGGCGGCGCTACCAGTGCTGCCTGGGCTACTACGAGAGCCGGGACTCCTGTGTCCGTGAGTGGGGCTGGGGGGGCTGGGGGGATCTGTGTCCTGCTGCAGGGTGTCCCCAGAGCTGCCTGGGGACACTCCCTGCCCGTTGTTTCCCCCCCAGCTCGCTGCAGCCAGGAGTGTGTCCACGGCCGGTGTGTGGCTCCCGAGCTGTGCCAGTGCGAGCCGGGCTGGCGTGGCACTGACTGCTCCAGCGGTGAGGGACCGGCAAGGGGGGCAGCACCGAGGGGGCACCACGGCTGGGGATGGCACAGTGGGCAGTGGGTTCAGCTGGAGGGCTGGGTAGGGGCAGCGGGACACCTCGGGGGTTAATGGGATGATGGGGACATGGATGGAGTTCGGGGTGGGATGGAGGTGAGATTGGGATGGAGATGGTGGCAGGGATGGGAAATACAGTGGGGACAGGGAATGGGATGGGGATGGAGAATGGGATGGAATGGGAATGGAGGACGGGATGGGACGGAACGGGATGGGATGGGATGGGATGGGGATGGAGAATGGGATGGGATGGGGATAGGACGTGGATGGAGAGTGGGATGGGGATGGGATGGGCATGGAGAATGGGTTTGTGACGGGCTGGGGATGGAGAATGGGAGGGGATGGAGAATGAGATGGGGTTGGAATTGGAATGGGGGGACTGGGGTGGGGTGTGCATGGAGTGGGAATGGAGATGGGACGAAGGTGGGGGTGGGCTGAGAATGGCATTGGGTGGGGAGACTGGGATGGGATATGTATGGGATGGGATGGAGGTAGGATGAGGATGGGATGGGGGGTGATGGGATGGGGAGGTACCACTGATCTCTCCCTTGCAGAGTGTGACGAGCAGTCGTGGGGGCCGGGCTGTGGGAAACGCTGCAACTGCCACCACGGGGCCCCCTGTGACCCCCTGACCGGGGTCTGCTCCTGCCCCCCCGGCTTCGCCGACCCTCTGTGCCACCAGCCGTGCCCCCCTGGCACCTACGGGCAGGGCTGTCACCTGCCCTGTCCCTGCCACCACCAGGCCCCCTGCAATGCCTCCACCGGCGCCTGCCTCTGCCCCCCG